TACACCGGAACCCGCACGCTTTATATTACAAATCCATAGGGCACCCTGTACCATACAGTATATAGAACACCTTATAGGATAACATTTGGAATAACTCTTCTATAAATACCTTATAAACTTTCCTTTGGAATACCTTAACATAGAATACCTTAATGCCTTATTGAATACCCTATAGCCTCTAGAATACCTTATCATGTACTTTCAAAAATCCCCCGTATGTCTACCCTGTAGAATACCTTATACAATAACTTATGGAACCCCTGTAGAATACCACATAGAATGCCTTACGAAATACCTAACGGAATACATAATCCCCTGTATATATCGTACGCCTTATTGAAGACCATCTGGAATACTCTATAGAATACCTTATAGCAACCCGCTACGGTTCTGTATATGATAGCCTCTGTATGCCGTATATAGGCCTTTACATTATGTAATAAATACCCTATATATAAGCCTTCAATGAAAGGATGTATAAAAGGACAATCCTGACGGACGCAAGATTTGAGAACCCCCACATAAAACTGTAGCTTATTGGGTATGGGGTTTTTATGAAGAAATCAGGAATCGAAGAGAATAGCCTATAGAATCCCTATATAGAATGCCCCAAGAAATACGTTACATAATACGCCCTTTATCGGCAGTATAAAAAATGGAGTACCACTTCAACTATCTCATAGAATACCCCCTGTGTCTGATATTCTCTGCATACCCCATAAAAACCCCTAAAGACAATCCTATAGAATACCCTTGGAATGCACCATAGAATGCCTTATAGAATATTTTCTAGATTTACGGATTAGCACGGAAATAATTAGGAGACTAATACGCTGTATAATACCTGCTATATGTCAATTATGTACCTTTTGTTTACCATCTGGAACACCCTATGGAATTGAGTACCCTCCAGCATACGTTGTAGATAAACGATGCATATAGGGAAAATCAGGAAGAGCCCAAGATCTGGAAATTCACCAGTCGAATTGTAGTTCCTTGAATAAGGGATTTTTCTAGGACCTAGGAAGTCCTCAAATGAGTAGATGCTTATTTAGCACGGGATAGTATGGGTTCTATTCAGAGAAAATCATGCACGATCGAAGAATTCATGTTATAGTAAAAAGGCTAACTATGTAAAGAGATGCAGGAGCCCATGATGTGAGTACTCTCTAAATAGTTCGAAGCTTCTTTCCTAAGGGGTTATATAAAGGATTTGAGGGCTCCTATAGTGCATTCAAGCTTCGTTAGCACGAGATGTATAGTTTAGCTGTTAACTATACACGACATATCTTTCGATTAGCCATGTATTGTTTTGCTTGACCTTGATGGTTTCCTAAATTCCCTACTCCCCGCCCCCCTGTCTTGGATAACGGTTAGCATTGTATAGCTTCCTACATTCCCTAATCTCAGGCCCCCATGTCCTGCCTTTAAGGAGTTCCTTGATTCCTGAAATTCACCAAATTCCGTGATCCTTGTCCCCATAAGTTGGGTTTAACGGGTTCACTAGTTCCCGAAATTCCCTCTCAATCATGGGAACACATGAATCCTATCCATGAGGGTCAGAAGTACACATAGGGCTAGGGGCTAGGAAATTTAGAGACTTTAAGGATATAGTGGATTTCTTACATCTGGTACTGGTTTATCAAGGATAGTCATTCCAGAATTCCAGATTGTAGAATCTGAAAAATAACTCCAGATTGCATAATCAGGAATTCTGAAAATCTTTAAGAACTGCAATTCTGGAACTGTTAGCCCTTGCAAATCTGGAATTCTGGAATTATTAGCCGCCACGAATCATGAGGTCAATAATTCCAGAATTCCAGATTTGCGAGAGCTAATAATTCCAGATTTCCAGAATTCCAGATTTATCAGATCTAGAATTATTCCAGATTGGAATATCTGGACCTTTGGAAATCTGGAATTCTGGAAATCTGGAGTTCCGGAAATCTGCAGTTCTGGAAGAGTTAGCCTACGCAAATCTGGAATTCTGGAAGTCTGGAAATCGGGAATTCTGGAAATCTGGAAGAGTTAGCCTCCGCAAATCTGGCATTCTGGAATTATTAGCCCCCGCAAATCTGGAATTCTGGAATTTCGGAAGAGTTAACCTGAGCAAATCTGGAATTGTGGAAATATTTAGTCTTGCCATTGTGGAATGTGGAAAGATAGTTCTGCGGACAAGGCATACCCTTCGGAGTCTGTGGAACAGCGGATTACAGCATCGAAGCATTTCGCGTCGCGGAAGCATACGTACTGCCAGCGATGGAACTCATAATTTCGAGCATCAGAGTATTCCGCGTCGCGAGTCCCCGAACTCCAGACCCTGAGCTGCAGCTTTTTCCGTCGAAGATTGAGCTCGTTGTAATGGACATGAGGGCGTGTTTTTTGGGGGTACCATATATGCATTACATACATATGAATCAATAGACATATATATGTATATATATATATATTTATATCTATATTTATACTTATATTTATTTATGTGTATACACACAAGGAAAGTCATACAAAAAAACAGAAACCGAAGGAAACCTGCCAAAGCCAAAACCAAAAAAACAAAATCGAAGCAATATGTTCTTCTTGACCACACCAATGCTTCTCCGCCGTGGGCGCGCAGTTGGAAAATGCAGTGTGCCCCTGTTGCCACTAGCACTGCCTTCCGCAAGAGCCAGCATTCGAACAAAACATGTTAGCCTCCAGGCAAAAGACAGCACCTGCATGAATTCTAATTTGGATCGCCTTGGTCTTGCTCTGTGGCGGCAGCCATTTATAAGAACGTCCAAGTAGCAAAGATTCAATGTGACTCTCATACATATGGGACACTCCACCCCCGACTCGATGGCTTCGTTGCGTCGTAGATGGTGTTGCTTTCTGCTATGAAATACAATACGGAACTCAAGCTGAGTGTGTTGCGACTTGTATTTGGCAAAATGCTGACCGCCTGTGCATGATAGTTGGTTGTACCCGGCACCACGCGCGCATGGACAAGTTCGCAGCCAGTAGATGGAAGGGCCAAGCATGACGATCAATAATTAAAAATTCAAACACCGGACCGAATACAGTCTGAATGCAGGTGCCTGAATTCCGCCAGACTGGGGCAGTTGAGACGTATCCACCGCCCTTCTCAATCGCTTCAACCAGCTTCCAAAACTCGTTCACGATTCTGCAGTGGAAAAAGTGGAGAGCCTAATCGGCGGAGTTCCTTCACCAAACACCTGCAGCCACAACTCCTCGCTTTCAGACCCTGTGTGCTCGTAGCTTCGTATGCTGTGGCTGTACGCTGTGAACTTGTGGACCTTGCGACGGTGGTATCTCAGTGAAGCAAGGATTCACCGTGGGGCCTTTTATATCAGCTGTGCCAGGCCTCTGCATGAGGCTTGTTTATGGCAGGCGCATTCGTTGGCGCGGGCTCCGGCGCCGGTGCGGGTGAAGGCGCTCTGCCTTGATCTGAACTTGACTGGCCGAGGGGCTGCGACATATGACACTAGAATACTCTAGTACTGAAGCAACTGCGACGATCATAGCTCGAATGTGATCACTGACATGCGAATGTTCGTTGGCACTCGAAGCACAGATGCTATGGTCCTTCCTCAAGGTCATGATCGCACGAGTTGCAATGCAAAGCAATACAAAGGTCAGGGAGTCTGTGCAAAACTATACACTCCCTACACGAATCTGGCTAAACGGCACATGCTCTGACAGCTCGCAAAGAGCTTGGCGGCTTGGCAGGGTGCCGGGCTTGCAGGGAAGTCGTTGTCAAGTTAATAAGAAACTTGCTCGACAGCTCAAACCACCCGAGTCCCAAGCCCCCACCTCTGGCACACTCGCTCGGCCCCAAAATCACTTCGGCATCAGCTTCCGGAACAGACCCGCCGGAACCTTTGCCTGCAAAGGCCATGCGGCTTTTGTCAGATTTGTGTCAGAGCTTCAGGTTGAAGCCTGTACTCCCAGGCCAGGGCTGTTGGTGGGCATTTGAAGGTATGCGAAAGAGTGGAACATGTTTTTTTGGCGAAGATGTAAAAAAATAGTTCGTAGATGTTCGTGGCATGTGTGTATATATACATATATATATATATATATGGCTTAGGTTGGATGGCGTGCGGCGCAGACTATCGCCCAATCATCGAACTCATGCAGTGCTATGACCCGATATTGATACTAATGCGTTTGAAACACTGGAGGAGACAAAGATACTAGTGACAGCAAGGGAAGTAAGGAGCGGTGAGAGAAATCCGGGTGGCTCTTGACGGTAAATGCAGGGGGTGTGCTCGTGCAGATACCGGCAAAGTGACAGGACGAATAAGGCCGAATTTCAGATTCAATGGGGATTTAAATTCGAATTTAAGCCTATGTCCTCTAGGGCTCCGGTGCCTCTCTGGGAGGCTTAGATTCGAATTTAATGCATCCCAGTAGAAAAGGCTTAAGTTCGAATTTAAATCCCTGTGTGTGTTTCTCAGGTGTCGATAGGGATTAAATTTGAGTTTGATCTGTGATGGGTAGAAAGGGTGTTAAATTCGGAATTAAGTCCTCTTGCCAGCGCAAGGCTTCAATTCGAATCTAAGCCGTGTCTGCTTAATGTAGCTTAAATCCGAATTAAAAGCACGTAAGGTCTCGCCGCAGCAAGGCTTAAAATCGAATTTCAATCCCTTGCAGGGGTTTCGTCCTAGCAAGGTATGGGCTGTATGTATGTATGTATGTATAAGGCTCTGGCTCGAGCCGATTGTTCCAGAGTGTGTAAGTAAAACATCTGCCATGCGGTCATGCCGGCCTCTCCTTGTGGCTCTAGTCCTCTTGAGTCCTGTATGCCTGGAGCTGCCACGCACGGCCTGGTGCTCAGACCAGCTTAGCACTGCCTGCGACAGTCCGCCAATTGCCTTACAAGCAGTCTTTGGTGCCCGGCGTGCCTCTTTATCTCAAGTGCAGCGGTTGCAGCCTAGCAACCTAGCCATTGCAGTCGCCTCGCTACCAGGCCCTCCTTCCTCAGACTCCATTGCAGTGGCATGCCGCCCAAGAAGACAGCCCAGGCATCGCCTAAAGCAGGCGGAGGCATCCTACGTTCAGGACGCTTTGCTAAGGCGGCCTCAGCAGACGTGGTTGCCATGGCCAAGTCACCGAGGAGCAGGGCCCGTACTCGCACCCCGGCTCCGACTCCCAGGAGTCGACGAGCACGCCGCGTGGAGGCCGAGGCAGAGGCATCGGAATCCATCAGTGAGTCCTCCTCGTCTTCGGAAGAATCCTGGGGGCCACCGCCTAAGAGAGGATCCATACGACCACCTCGAGGACCACCTCCCCCGACAGCGGTCAACGATCCGCGGGCGGCTACTGCTGCCGCGCCTGCAACGCTTGATGCTTCTGGACATGCTCCCCTGCCTCCCAAGGCTGCAGCTCCGCTGGCTACGACGACTACCAGTTCACCGAGACCGCCGTCCCCATCTGGACCACCGCCGCCTTCGCCGTCAGGAGCCCCTCAGGTGTCGACCGGTTATCCCCAAGACCTCATTCTCACATTGCAGGGTGCTTGGCAGCTCCGGCTCACTCAGGTCACTCCGCTTTCGATATGTACTCCACCCTTGCCGATTGCACCACTGCCAGCGGCGAAGGCTATGGCAGCAGCCACGACTAAGGCCCCACCTCCGGTTGCGACAGGCGCCTTTGGTCTACGGGCTCCGCCTCGACCAGTCCTCCCGGACAGCTCTGCCTTGTCTTCCCTCCTGCCACCGACAGCCTTGGTCCCTCACTGGCTCTACTCCATCCGTGCCGGAGACAGGATCACCGGCTACCACCACGCCGGTCCAGTACTGGAATGCAGTGGTGTCTGGCCTTGCCATGCCATCGGATGCCTGAGGCCCCTTATGCAGTGCCTTCGGCACATGTCTTGCTTCACGTCTCTCTGTTTTTGGAGCACAGCTCTGCCGCGGTAACCAGGGCACCTGAATGGCCAAAACAAGTCCCTCTGCTGGACGTGCATATGCCCGCCATGTCCTTCCTCGCTCAATTTGCCAGCCCAGGTCCTCGCATGTCCTTCCTGCCACTGACGGTGGACATGACAACCTATGGTGGGAGCCATTGTCTAGTCTCTGCGCTGCAGCCTCTGCACAGCTGGCCTTCCCAGGTAATGTCAGTGCTGGCCCGTCGCCACGGCCCTTGCTTCCGGACCGGTCGCAGCAGCCCAGGAACAAACTGCAGGAACATAGGGTGCCAGATGACACGGACCTCTCTCCCTGTGCTCTTCGTCTCCTGCACGGGGACATTGTCGGGGCGCCTTGGTGCGCCTTGCCCTTGTGCAAGCGTCTTTTGTGCGCAGCACTCTCAACCTCGAGGTATCGTAAAAGTGCCAGGTTCAACTCATACCGCAGTCGTGCCCTTACTCAGGCATTGCACTACGAGAGATTCTTGCCTTTTCTCGAGGCTCACGTCCTCTATCTTGAAGCCAGGTGTGAATTGTCGAGCACAGAGCATGCAGAACTTCTTGCTCAGCTCACACACCTCGCCCCTCTGGCGCTGGCAAGCCTGCAGTCCCGTCTTACTGATCTGCATACGCTTGACTAGGCTGGACCCCACCAGCTCTCTGGGCCAGGCCCTCACAGCCTGCACACCCGCTTGTTCACCTCTGTGCCTGCCTATCCGTACCCAGGCTGGAGGAGTCCTCGCCTGCGGGATCGCTCGCCCTGAGCCGTGGCCTCAACTGATGCCGGCCGTTGGGCTTTGCTCTGTCCTTGCGCTGCCTTGGCATGCACAGCTGACCCACACGGTGTGCTTCCCTTGCTGCTGTGCTGGTTCATTCTTGCAGCAGCCCCGAGCACGGCTAGGACCAACTAGGCCTCCATTGCAGATGGGGAAGGCGAATCGGCTTCAACGGGGCAAACAACATCATGGCCGCCGCACCAGGGAGACCAATCGCCCAGGAGATACAGGCAGCGCCGCGTCGGGTGTCGGCTCAAGTGCTAGCTCCTCGATCACTACACCAGGACGTTTCGTCCGCCTCTTCGAGGCCCACCCTCCCTACCTGGCTGGCACCCCGGGGGTCATCTTGCCGGACGACATCCGTGGTACACCATTGAGTCCTGCTCATGCCCCAGTTGAGGGCCAGACCACCTGCAAGGTCATGCTGATCCCGGGCATTGAAGTTCATGTCTGCACTTCTCCGCAGGTGATTCCTACACCTCCGACCTTCTTCTCTGGGATTGTTCAGGAGCGCCTTGCTCGGCTGCATAGATGGATGGTGACGCCACCCCCGCCTTCAAGGTTTGCCCGACCGCCAGTGGCCCTGGCACCGACGCAGATCGACGGCCTGGAGGATACAGCATGTCGAGGCGTCCGCCCCGTCGTCCAGGTCAACTCTGACAGTGACGCTGATGACGGCGACGCCGTGATCCTCATCCCTGGTCCTGGGGGTCAAGGAGAGACAGCAGTGGATTGCACAACCCCTTGCCAGGATCCTGTCCCGCAGCCCGCGGTGACGATGACTTCTCCTGCTTCCTCGCGGCTCTTGGCCAATGAGCTGCTGCAGTCGAGGATGGAAGACTTGAGAAGGCGCTTCGCCGAGTTCGGCCTCCGAGCGAGATGGACCACCAGGAGACGCCAGACACCGAGTCAGACACTGTGGACACTGTGGAGGCACTCGGCACTGGAGATGATCTTCCGCCTCCTTCTCCAGAGCACATCCTGAATGCGGACCCGGCGGCTTCAGACCTTCTGCTGTGCACCTCTGGCACTATCACTCCTCCGAGGATCCAGCCGAGCAGCGAAGCAAACCTGGTGGAAATCACACAGGTGCGGGCCTCCTCGCCAGAGCCGCTGATCACATGCCAACCGCTCCCGGCCGAAGGTCCCTCCACGCTAAAGAGAAGACGCCGCCAGCTTCCTCAGCTAGAAGCAGAGGCACGGGCCCAGGTCGATCACCAAGTTGAGCTCCGGATTGCAGGCCCCAGTCAATCGCTTTTCTCACCGCGAGCCTCTCCACTGACTTCGAAGAATCAGTCACAGATGGGGCGACCAGCGGGGCGACGATCCACCTCCAGCTCCAAGGACGACAGCTCTTCCTATCAATCGGGGACAAGTCACAGTCGCGAGCCTCGACGTTTCACTGACTCGGGAGTGACTGAGCCTGGCACTCCGACAAGCCCGGCATATATGCATGCACCTCCTGCATTCCTCCTGCGGATTCTTGTGCACTCTGCACTTTTGCTGCCCTCACTGCCCAGGTCCTTGGCATACACCCCTGGACAGTGGTCTACCTGCGAGGCTCTCAGTGCAGCCCACAGTCTTTTCTCGTCAGCACAACGCCTTAGGATCCGCGACTGTGAACACAGTGCTCTGCTTTTGATGCTGAGCCGTATCAGTCCTCAGCCAGCTCTAGGTGCCTCCCGCTCAGGGCCATGGGTGCTCGGGCTCATAAGCGGCCGGCAAGTCGCCTCTCTGGCAACTGCGTTCGAGGATCCAGTGCTCCGGCTGCCTCCAAGGCTGCCTCCAGAGCTGCTCCCAAAGCTATCTCCAAGGCTGCCTCCAAGCGTCCGGCCAGTCTTGTTGGTAAACAGGTGGGCGGAGCTCTCAGGTCAGAGCACAAGCCAGCTCGTGCTTCGCGACCGTCGTACTCCCCAACTACACCGTCCTGGTGGGCAAGTGATCCCGAAGAGACGCGAGCCTCAGACTCGGACAAGATCGACAGTGACATGGCAGCTCGGGGCGTCCCGCCGCCACCGGTCCAGCCTCTCTGTGCTACGGACCCGCCTCGCGGTCCACCTCCGCCACAGCCTGTTCGCGACGATGCTGACGCCAGCGCCGCTTTTGGCAGCACCAGCCCTAATGCTGTCCCTACAGTGGTCCTCAATCGAGCCCAACATCGAGTGCTGGCTCAAACGCCACTGTCACACATTATGCGCCACGCGGCCGCCAGTATGTACCCCTCTTCTGCGCATAGCTGAGTGTTGGGCTCCGCTACCAGTCATAGCTGACATTTTTGATTGTGGCTGCTTGACTCCGGGGCGTATGAGGACAGCCGCTGCCCGGAGGATCAGTGATCGTCTCTTTATCTGGCCGATGCAAAAACAGCCGCTAAATCTGCCTGACCAATGCCTGCATTGCCCAGCTAACGCGGGAACATCTTGGCCTCTTTCACCATGGATTGCACGGCGTTGCGCTCAGGTGATTACTGTGCCGCCCTCTATAGGCCGGCCACTGCCCCAACCGTCGCGGGCTCCTGCTCTGTATCAGAGACCTGTTCGCGCCAGGCTCCCGTCCGGCAGAGTTCGTCGTCGATATCGTCGGCGCACGGGGAAAAGCCACCCCTTGCTCCGGCTTGGTGCTAGGCAACTGCTTCTGCTCTGGCATCAGGACCACGCGGCCTACTTAGCTGCCTGCCTGCTGCGATGTCGCACTTCAGCTTGGAGGACGAGCAGTCTAGTTCTAAGCCTTCTCTTGCGTACCCGCATTGCAGCCCGGCTCCAGCCTCTGCCTCCCTCGCAGGAGGTAGAACATTTTGGCCCATGGAAATTGCTTACACACACACACACATACCTTTAGCAGATTTCGAGCCCACTTCGGTCCCTGCACTTGCAAGTTTGTACACATAGCCTCTCAGAGCCGAGGGTTAGACGTCCCCCGCCACGTCTTGAACCTGCCACCCTGATCCTTGCTGGACCTGATGCACATGTACCTACCGAAGCTCCAGCCTCTGATCACTGTGTGGGTGCAGGGAAGCCAGGGAATTTTGCAAGTGGTGCAGTCCTGCGGGACCGCCACCCTCGTACACAATCAGTCGTCATCAGGTCCCGCTCCTCATGGCCCGCCTCACGCCTGCTCCTCCTTGGAGTGGGCAGCCTTCTCCAGGCTCCCAGCAATGCGCACGTCACGGGCATTAAACGTGCATATAAAACCGGGCAGTCAGAAGGGCACAAGCGAGCCCCTTGCAGGGAACCTTCTATCGTGGGCCTGCCCTCTCGCCGCAGCCTCGGCCAACCCATCGTCCCAAGCTACATGCCGCCGCTCCAGCCTCGGCGACCAGGCTCCTCCATGTCTCTTACAATGCCGGCGGGCTAACGGGAGAATCCTACCAGGAGCTGATGCAGTGGCTGGCCCAGCTGCCTCCAGAGCAGTGTCCTATGATAGTGCACATCCAGGAAACCCATTGGGCGCATGATCAGGAATACAGCACACCAGGCTGGCACATCATATCGTCGGCCTGCTCGTCCCCTAAGGCAGGGGGCCTCCTGACCCTAGTCAATGACACGCTCTGTTCAGCTACCCAGATCTCCTCCTCCTCCCGCGTTGCAGGCAGAGTGCTGCACGTACGCATCGATCTGGGAGACCGCACGGTGGATGCAATTAACACCTACCAAAAGGTATACCATTCTGGCAGTTCGCGCCTTGAGAAAGGCCAGACCCAAACCGCGGCCGAACAGCGCATGGGCGTCTGGACGTCACTACGTGGCCTCCTGAAGGAGATACCCAATAGACCCGGTTAGGCAGAAAGTTGCCTAATCCCGAAATCGTAGGATTCAGCTGAATCGGTCGCTTTCGGCAACACGTTTCGGCAGATCCTTCGGCAAAATCCTTAGGTTTGGGCAGCCCAAAATGAAGCGAATCTTCGGCAGATCCATCGTTGTCGAATTCGACCCATCCTGCCGAATTCGGCAAACCATGGTTTGCCGAATCCGGCAGAATCTGCCGGATTCGGCAACCCGGCCCCGGCCAAACTTCAATCAAACTTCCTCGCCCAGGCCGCCAAAACTTCCACCAAACTTCCTCTCCCAGGCCCCCCAAACTTCCACCAAACTTCCTCTCCCAGGCCCCCAAACTTCCACCAAACTTCCTCTCCCAACCCTAAACCCTAAACCCTAAACCCCTAAACCCTAAACCCTGAACCCAAAACAGAAAAGCCTGTAAATACCAGCAAGAAAGAACTTCGCCCTTGAATCTGTGCCATGTGTGCAAGATTTCCCAGCTTTTCGTGCTCCAAATCGCCAACACGAAACTTCCACCAAACTTCCTCGGTTCAGGCCTTCAAACTTCCACCAAACTTCCTCGGTTCAGGCCTTCAAACTTCCACCAAACTTCCTCTCCCAACCCTAAACCCTAAACCCTAAACCCTAAACCCCTAAACCCTGAACCCAAAACAGAAAAGCCTGTAAATACCAGCAAGAAAGAACTTCGCCCTTGAATCTGTGCCATGTGTGCAAGATTTCCCAGCTTGTCGTGCTCCAAATCGCCAACACGAAACTTCCACCAAACTTCCTCGGTTCAGGCCTTCAAACTTCCACCAAACTTCCTCGGTTCAGGCCTTCAAACTTCCACCAAACTTCCTCTCAAACCCTTTGTAGCCGCCCCAAACTTCCACCAAACTTCGGGCGAAGTTTGGGCGAAACTTCCTCGAAACTTCCTCTGGTCGCGTGTCGAGGGATCGGACGCAGTTTTGTCGTATTCGGCAGATTTTGCCGTATTCGGCAACTACTTTCGGTTAACAACTTGTCGATTCGACAACACAGGTTTGCCGAATTCGGCAACTTGTTGTTTTAACGATTCGACAGGAATCTGCCGAAGTCTAACAAGTTACCGTTTCGGCAGAAATCTGTCTAACCGGGTCTATTGGGTACCAACACGTCACCACCTAATCTTATCTGGGGATTTTAACTCACCTGCTCCGCTCATCTCAGATCTGGTGGGAAGTAAGGCTCGGGCGCATCGTACACCGGCAGTTCCCGACTTGGCTATCTTTGAGGCACTGCTTGCGGAGTTTCAGTTGCTTCACCTTAATAGCTGGACCCGACGAGCCGGCCCCACCTTTCTTTCCCCTTAGGGAGTATCCCAAATTGGCCACGTCTTTGTGCGCAAGGCGGCAGCTGATATGCCGGCCCGAGGGGGTGGTCCTTGTGCATGACTGGCCCCTGGCAGCCTGGCGTCAGGGAGGCAGACATCGACCTGTGCGGGTCTCACTCCCCATCCGACCTTACCGTGCTCTCGGTAAGAGCCAGCCCAAACGGGCCCTCCTTGATCTCCAAGGTCTGCGCAACGCCTGTCACGATTCCAGTCACCCAGGCATCAGGCAGCTTCGTGCCTCTGTTGAAGCGCTCCTTTCTGACTCCCCTGAGGCCACGGTTGAGGAGGTTAATTCTTATGTGCTCCAGCAGGCAACGGTGGTGTTCCCAGCCGTTCGCAATCAGGGACGCATTGTCCCCTGGCAATCACCTACTGTTGAAGTCAGCGTTAAAGGTATGTGGCAAGCCTCTCGCTACTGGCGGCATGGACCGGCGACAGGACGTAGAAACGTCTTTGCTCTCTGGCGTGCCTACTCAGCCTTCCGCCGCGCACATAAGCAATTCCGCCAGAGGACTCGGGAAGCTAAAAGGGCCTGGTTCTATGATCAAGTTCTTGGAATGGAGCGTGCATCTGCTGCCGGGGACGTCAGAGCGCTCTTTCGGGTCCCCTACTCAACAGGTGGACTGCCTCAAGACCTTCTTTCAGGATCTGTATGCACCGGAGGACGAACAAGGGAGGCAGTGCCACCACTTCAGGCCCCTACCATCTCCTCCTCTGAGGCCCATCACCGACTCATACGGCTCCCGGTGCACAAAGCTACCCCCGCGCATCAGGCCCCCACGGCGGCGATTGTTGCCTGTGCGGATCTTCTTGCACCCTGGCTCAGTGACAAGGTGGGGTCCCTTTCCTCCTTCCCGGCTGTTTGGTCGGATTGCTGGCTGGCATTAATGCCCAAGGTCAGCCACCCAGTACTACCACGACAATTGCGACCTATCGGTCTCACGGAAAGTACGAGCCGTGTACTGGCCGGACACCTACAAGATGCTCTCAAGCCCTACCTTCAGGCCTTTGTTGGCCCCTGGCCCCAGCTTGCGTAAATGGCAGGACGCAGTACAGGGGAGGCGCTGCATCGTGTCTTCAGCCATTGTCACGAAGTGTCCGCGGCCAATCTAAAGCCTGCCTACAATATCCACCGTGCCAGAGCAGCGCAAGCTCAGGCTGTGTCATCCTCGTCCCATCCATCCGCCTCCAAGCGGAAGTGGACGGGAGGGGTCCAGGCTTCACTGGACCTTTCTCAAGCGTTTGACCGGCTTAGCTGGAGTCTTATACACGAAGCATTGCTAGAAGCACAGGTTCCAATTGAGCTGAGAGTACAACTACTTGAGTTCTACAGAGGTCTGGGCTATCACCTGACCTTTGGGTCTGAGCAGGCCACGGTCCAAGCCCTGAGAGGAGTCAAACAAGGTTGCAAAGTGGCTCCACTATTGTGGAGTCTGGCTACAGGTCTGCTCATGCGACGATTGGCCCGTGCGACTTCGGCCGAGTGGGTCCGCCGTGCACTCACGGCTTTCGCCGATGACTTTCATATTGGGCAGGTCGTCTACTCCAACCGCGACTTGCTTTTGTCCATTGAAAGGCTGGGACATGTTTTGCAGCTGCTCATCGACGCTCGCATGAAAGTCAACATAGACAAATCCGTGATACTCCTCTCTGTCAATCACTCCTACGCCAGACGCTGGCGGCGCAGGGAAATCCTCTCTGATAAGGAGGGCCCGAGACTGCGGATCTCGACACCTACGGCAGGCACCTTCAAGCTGCCCATCGTGGCCACACACAAATATCTGGGAGCTATTATATCCTACCAGGAAGACTGTACGCAGCTTACGGTGGCGTATCGGCTGCGCCAAACTTGGGCGACCTGGACCCGACTTCGACCAGCTCTCACCTCAGCCTCCGCACCAGCTCTCCCCTTGAGACTCCGTCTTTGGCAGGCATGTGTTCCTCCCACCGCTCTCTACGCGCTAGATAGCCTTCCGCTGCAGCAGCAACACCTAGTAACTAGTACAGATCCAGAGAGCCTTAACGAAACAGTTACGTGCTGTCGCAAAATCCCAGGCGCATCTGACAGGCGAATCAACGGTCGCTTTGCACACTCGCCTCCGGGTTCCCTTTGTGTTGGATATGTTGCGTCAGGCCTATCCCCCCTGAGGAAGTTCACCTTCTCAGCCGATCATGGCAAACTTGCATCGACGATGCCCTAGCGAAGCTTGATTCACAACCTCAGGCGGTCTTGGAGGCTCCCGCTGCTGACTTGGCATACCCTGGCATGCAGGATCGACCCTCCACCACATCTGCTGAGGACTCGGGTCTGCACGTTGAAGGATGGCCCTGTCCACACTGCTCTTATCAGGCGCCCTCGCATAGACTTCTTCGTGTGCATCTCTCCAGAACCCATGCTAGCAAGGCGAAGGATCGGGAATGCCCAGGTCGGTTCAATCGCGCCCTTCACTCTGTGGGCGGAATGCCGACATGTCGACTGTGCGGGCATCGCTTCTCTCGCTGGAGCGGACTTCGTTGCCACATTGATAAGGGACACTGTAGATGCCTATCATTCTCAGTCTCGCCTGCGCCTGAACCCTCGAGTGCTGTTCATACGGTCCCTGCGGCTGATCCATTGTTGCCGCATGCTACCGTTAGCACTGGGACTGCGCATACGGAGGCCAGACCAACTTCGGCCCTTACGTCTCCGCCTGGCCTGGAGCAACTCCTTGTGGAGCCACGTCTCGCTGAGCAACTCAGCCCGGCACTGGATCAGCCTCCCGCTCCCCCAGGGGCACCCGCAGATGCTCACACCACTGAGGCAGCCGAAGACACGTCATCAAATTAGCCTCTGCCCACCTCCCAATCGCTGGCCTACACCACAGCTTTTCAGACTCAGCTGAGAAGTCACGGATGGCAAGCGCTGCTCTCGAGGCCAGACCTCCGAAGCTCATTGAAGCACCACTGCCCGCTGTGCTCTCAGTGGGCTGCCTCACCCTCGGGCCTTAAAGTGCATCTGCAGCAGTCGCACCCGGAATGGAAAGCTCTACGCGCGACCGCTCAGGCGAAGGCCCAAGTTCTTCGACGTAGCCTGTGTAAGCCATGTCTCTACTGTCAGGAATCACGCATCGATCTTCAGCATCACTGGAAACAGTGCTACATGATCACTCTACTTAGCTTTTTAGAGTGTTGGCTGGACGACACCAACCCTGCTGTAGCCTCCGCACCCTTGGAACATCAGAGTAATCCGCTCCCTCGCGTCCATGTCCGTGGAGGATCAACGCGAGTTGGGCCTCTTCCAGAACTTCATGACACCGCCGGCAGGAATGGACATGGCTCAGCCCAAGCGCCGCCGGGGGGAGGAACCGGATGCACAACCAGCCCTATTCCTGAGCCACTCTTCCGGCTCTCAAGCCTCGGCGTCAACTCTGGCGTTCACCACCACGAGCTCGGAACCCAAGGGGAAAGGGAAGGGCAAACAGCCCAAGGGCAAAGGCCGAGGCAAGGGGGGCAAATCCCGCCCAGCTGCGCAGCAGTCGTGGAACGATCAATGGAGCCCGGATCAGTCTTGGTCGAGTGGCCACTCGTGGACTTCCTCCGCCGACCTGACCGGTCAAATGGCCCGTCTCCTTCTACGCCACGAGCAGCAGCTGCAGAGCATCCAACAGGACTGCAAGCTGCATCTCTACCTTCGCAGTGGGAAGGAATCCTTTCTCCCCAATCTATGCGAAATCGCCAAGGAATGGAGTCGCCTTCGTCGAGACAAACCGGGGAACATCAACAGTCCGCTGCGCACCCTTCTCCTTCGTGCCACCCTACAGGAGATGGAGACCCGCATCAAGCTCACGCTCAGCAAGGAGAAGCAGACGGCCATCGACATGCAGTGGTACAAGGAGGAGGAGGGCTGGACCTACATGCAGTGGAATGCGCAGAAGGGGCAACTCGAGCTCCAAACCACACCAAGCCCTCTTGCCACAGAGACCCTCCTCGAGCTTCTCCGGGAGCTTCGCACCCTTGTTTAATCCCGATTCTGTGAAGAAATTCGCGTCGCTTCGCGGACTTCCACAGGAACCCCAAGGATACACTTTCAGTTGGAACTGGGCTTTCGGCCACAGGGGGGCCGCATGTGGGAAATCTTTCAGATGTTGCTCAATCAGAGTTGTCTTCACCCTCTCGGTGCCCGCCTACGGAAGGACCGTCCCGGATTGTCAGGCCTTGCGGCCCAAATCCAACAGGCGATAGGGGGATGGTGAAGCCGACCACTCCAGTGGCCTCCGCCTCAGCTTCTTCTGGCATACGCCGCTTCCTTAAAGCATCCAGCGACCTGCCATTGAGTACTGCTGGTCCCTCCTCCTCTTCCGGGTCTTCTTCCTTTCTGCCCTCTGCACTTCCATCGCATTTTCTGCCTTTGCTTCAAGCAGCCCTTCATAATGCTGATGGTACCGCATGCTACATGAACACAGCTTTGATGGCCCTGCTGTGGGCCCTCGGAAGCCATGATCCTACTAGATCTGGTTCATTGTGCAGCCTGTACCAGTGCTTGGTTGCGAGGCCGGACCTTCGATTGATGCGCAACATGTGTTGGACTATGCTGCTGGGGAACTGGGAGAGGCCCGATCAACAGCACGACATGCACGAATTCTTGCTCCACCTCATGCCGCGAGCCAGGTTAGAGGCATTCAGCGGTCTGTGGCAGACTCGAAGACTGGAAGACACAGGCATTGTCATTTGCGCATCCTCCAGTGCATTACTTCCTGTTACCGTTGACCTGCCCTCAGAGGCGCGGGGACTTCAGCATTGCGTCCAAGAGTGGTTTGCCCGGCATTATCGCACCGCTTTTGAAGGCACCATGCCTCGTATCCTCTGCCTCCACTTATCGCGCTACAGGCGTGATGCGAGGGGCATTCTCAGCAAGGACGATCAGGCGCTACCGGACTGGTCTGAAGTGCTTCGCATTCCGCAATTCGCGACCACTCACGACCTTCAGAAACATTGGCGGCCTTATCAGGTGTGTGCCATGGCTCTCCACTATGGTCCTACCTTGCATCAGGGGCACTACCGATGCCTGACGCGATGGGGTCAAAATCCAGTGCGAGTCTGGCTGCATGATGACAATCGTGCTGCAGCGCCCCTCTCTCTTTCAGACTCCGTGGAGCTCAGTCGCAAAGCCTATATTGTTTGGGCTGTGCGAATGGACTGAGGCCAGATCCACCTACAATTGCGAACCCTGCATCGCACTATGACGACGTAGTTGTACATCGCACACGTACCGTCATTCGTGGCTGCGTGTGACTTGAGGGGGCACCAAACGGTGCGCATCCACAGAGGTGCCGAAGCCATATTTGGCTTTGCCTTGCTAAGCTAGGCGACGACTCGCTCGCTGCGTCCTGAAGAAGATGTATGTATGTATGTATGTATGCATGTTTCTGTGTAAATAATGTACATATATATGTATCTATATCTATGTATGTATGTATGTATGATGCATGTATGTATGTATGTATGCCCACAAACGTTGGGACCATTAAAGCCTTACACACTTACTTCTTGAATCCGAGACACTTAGACCCTTAAACTCTTTCACTTTGACAGGCTTAGCACCCTTAAACTGTTTCACTTTGAGAGGCTTAGCCACTTAGACGCGAGCCTTTGACCCTCAAATCTTGAAGCCTAAACCCTTAAACTCAGCCCACTACACGCTTGGACCCACACACCCTTAGACCCTTCGACTCCCAGACTCCCAGACCCTGGAACTAGCCCCGCGGAGTGGGCTGGACCCCTGGAACCCTTTGCCGCTGGATTAAATTCGAATTTAAGCCTTGGGCGAGAAAAAGGCTTAAATTCGAATTTAATTCCTTCCCGTGCCGCCGGTTTGTGGCTGCTGCTTGGTTAGGAGGTTTAAATTCGAATTTAAGCCATATGGATGCTATGGCCTCGCCCTACCCGGGAGGGGAATTAAATTCGAATTTAATTCCTTCCCGTGCCGCCGGTTTGTGGCCGCTGCTTGGTTAGGAGGTTTAAATTCGAATTTAAGCCATATGGATGCTATGGCCTCGCCCTACCCGGGAGGGGAATTAAATTCGAATTTAATTCCTTCCCGTGCCGCCGGTTTGTGGCCGCTGCTTGGTTAGGAGGTTTAAATTCGAATTTAAGCCATATGGATGCTATGGCCTCGCCCTACCCGGGAGGGGAATTAAATTCGAATTTAATTCCTTCCCGTGCCGCCGGTTAGTGGCCGCTGCTTGGTTAGGAGGTTTAAATTCGAATTTAAGCCATATGGATGCTATGGCCTCGCCCTACCCGGGAGGGGAATTAAATTCGAATTTAATTCCTTCCCGTGCCGCCGGTTTGTGGCCGCTGCTTGGTTAGGAGGTTTAAATTCGAATTTAAGCCATATGGATGCTATGGCCTCGCCCTACCCGGGAGGGGAATTAAATTCGAATTTAATTCCTTCCCGTGCCGCCGGTTTGTGGCCGCTGCTTGGTTAGGAGGTTTAAATTCGAATTTAAGCCATATGGATGCTATGGCCTCGCCCTACCCGGGAGGGGAATTAAATTCGAATTTAATTCCTTCCCGTGCCGCCGGTTTGTGGCCGCTGCTTGGTTAGGAGGTTTAAATTCGAATTTAAGCCCCTCCCCGGATGGTTAATTAATTCCGCCTCACCCTACCCGGGAGGGGAATTAAATTCGAATTTAATTCCTTCCCGTGCCGCCGGTTAGTGGCCGCTGCTTGGTTAGGAGGTTTAAATTCGAATTTAAGCCATATGGATGCTATGGCCTCGCCCTACCCGGGAGGGGAATTAAATTCGAATTTAATTCCTTCCCGTGCCGCCGGTTTGTGGCCGCTGCTTGGTTAGGAGGTTTAAATTCGAATTTAAGCCATATGGATGCTATGGCCTCGCCCTACCCGGGAGGGGAATTAAATTCGAATTTAATTCCTTCCCGTGCCGCCGGTTAGTGGCCGCTGCTTGGTTAGGAGGTTTAAATTCGAATTTAAGCCATATGGATGCTATGGCCTCGCCCTACCCGGGAGGGGAATTAAATTCGAATTTAATTCCTTCCCGTGCCGCCGGTTAGTGGCCGCTGCTTGGTTAGGAGGTTTAAATTCGAATTTAAGCCATATGGATGCTATGGCCTCGCCCTACCCGGGAGGGGAATTAAATTCGAATTTAATCCTTTTCTAAATTCGAAATCCGGCCTCATCCGTGACAGGACTGGTGCAAGTGGAAATCACGCCAGGATTGTGCCGCTGCTCATGATGACCGTCATGATGACGATCTTGGCGATGACCATGAAGAGAGCCATGGTGGTGATGATAGGGATGGTGATATAAGAACTCTGAGAAGTGTTCATGACAATGCACAAGTGGGCATGGCGAGAATCATCAGAATAATAATGGTCATGCTCAGGCACCATGGCTTGAAACATCAGGGTCCCCAGAACCACGGCCATCATGATGATTATCATCATCGATGCCACCACCACCAACAGCAACATCATCATCATCATCATCACCGAAGTTGTCATTTCGACGACCATGAAAACATGGCGATCATGATCATGATGATGAGGATGGTTCTCACTACCATTTTTATAATCCTTATCGTGGCCCTCGTTTTCGACATGAGTTTCACCTCAGTCGTTAGAAAACTAATCATCATCAGCGCTGTCGTCCTCAGCGGTTCGTCATTTCAAAATCACGATGTCTGACCTATGTAGATATGGGAACATGGCCCAACACGACCCTAGCAAGCGCGTGAACTTTAATGGCTGCGCAGAAGCTACAATTTTCATACGCTCACATTCTGGTCGGGAAAATCAGAACCATGATATGCTGGAGACACCTGATTGGCAATCCTTCAAGTCAAAGAACCAGTAACAACAGCAAAGCACTGCTTTGTCGTGTTGCCTGGTTTTTGCTTATAGGCGTGGCAAGTGGTACTGCTAAAACGCCGTTGCAGTAGTGTTGGAGCAAGAAACATGCACAGTGATAACACGGACGACAAGCAGAATCGACAAACTGCAATACGATGGAACACAAGTGCCGAACATGTTCGCAATACGCTAGCCATGAAAATACCTCTGGAACATACCACATCAACAGCGAGACGAAAGCGAGAAGCTGCTTATATAAGCAGACACACGGAAGAAAACACAACAGCAACTGAGGCAGCAGTAGGAACAACAAGAGCATCGGCAACGACACAACAATGAGAACACCAGTAAGAGCAATAACAAAAGAAAAAGTCATTCGTGGGGCAGGTGTTAGCATCGAACTTCTGTCATCCTTCGAAGTACAGAACCATAGCGACCCAGCCTGCCGACCCTATGACCGGCCGAATCCCGCCGTGCGCCTTTGTCGCATGCGGCATCTTCAGCTGCTGGCTTATCGTCTTCAGCCTGCCAACCCAGAAACCACGAAGATCAATGAAGTTGAATCTCAATGGCTCCGGAGGCCTCCAATGCACGGCTCTGCTCCGGACCGTTACTTCTGGTTCAAAGGCCAGAACGTGTAGCTTGTGTGTGTGTGGCATACAGACTTAACGTTCATGTATGTATTTCCTTCCGTCACACTTTCCAAAGCACGTCTCGGAAACCCAGCCGCACATGTCGACGCTCGCATGAATCAACGCAGCAGGACTCTCAGAGCTTGCACGATCTAATTACCACTCTCTCTCGTTACTGCATTAAGTGCTTCAGTTCGTTTGCCCCATGTGCCAATACTTACAGTTTCTTGGCGAGCAAGCGTTGCAACAAGTAGCAAGTGTTGAGATCGCCCCGGGATGTTGTATTCTGCGCTCGGACCTCAAGGTTGCGGTCCTTCGTCTCTGCGACAGGCTCAGGCAAGGACCTCAACATATATTATTGAGTGGAATTTTAGCAGCAAGACCCATACACAAAGTCTGGTATCTCCAATCGCATGTAGCCCGACGAACCTCATCCATGCAGCATCTTGGCACCGCAAGCTGCGCCAAACAAATCGGCGATGGGTAACTCGTGGAGCTGGCATAGCCGATGACCAAGAAGCAGCATAAAGTCATGTGCCCCCGAGCACAAAGGGTTAATTTGACATGCCGGGTCCGAAACCCGACAACACCATAGGTGAAGCTTCACTACACGAATTACATGCTTCGTTTCAACGTCCATTACCCAACATGCGGCAGACGACATACCAGCGGCTCCCAGACTGCTGCATGTGGAGCCCCAGAAATCTAATTTAATCATCAATGCCTGCCATTGCTGCGACTGAAGTCGCGTTTTCGTGCTCTAACCGGAAGAAAAGACGACAGGATCTTCTTGGGGTTTGCTATGCCTGAAAAACCTTCCACGAGTTGTTTGCAATGTTTGCAGCGTCCTGAACGTCTACAAGAGAACAAAGTGGGTCTGCAGTCTGCATCTTCATTTTCGGAATCCTTGGAACAAACACTACACTACCTGACATTTAGCTAGGGTCCAATCTTCACGTCCGCAAGCCAGAAGACACAGGTTGCTCTCAGGAACTGCGTAAGCTTCAAACCCCAGAAACATCCAGAAACTCTTGAAGAAGCCTTGATTTTCAATTCCTGAGAGCCCTGCCCAAACCCTAAACTTCAATCCCCGCATGAATCCAATCCTTGAAGGCCCAACCCAAATTACACCGCCGACTTAAGCATCGATTGGCCTGATTTCCCCACGCAACGGAAGAGCCGGTTGTGGGGCCCGGGCTTCTCCTCACCAGTCTCCTCCTGAAGGGTGAGCGGCTTCTCCGCCGTGTCCTCCTTCAGGGCCTGTGCTAGAATCCTCTAGACTCTAGCAACTTTGAAGCATCTGGGGTCTTGGATCTGAAATCGGGGGTCCTCCAATAGTGACCATCAATCAGGCTTCAGCAGGCTTCAAAATTCTGGTGTTCCTTGTCGTTGGTTCTTCTGTGTTGCTTCAGTCTGGCACGTTTGTCAAGGCCAGTCTGAAAGCTTGGATTCTAGTGGATCCGGTCTCAGGAGTTCAGGTTATAGATCTACGGAGTCCTGGACACATGAGGTGACATCTGCATTAGCCCATGTTTCCGAATGATCTCAGACCAACAAAAAACAAAAGCTCAAATCAAGTGATCACAGCCTGAACTGCCATTCTGACATCAGTGAAACGAAGAGCCTCGACAAAATGTCGAAAATGATCCGCTTCGAGAAGTCGGCGAAAATGCATGAAAGTTCTAAAAACAGGG